CAGCCTGATGCACAGGAGAGCAGCTCTAATCCAGAGTGTCAGCTGATTACATGGAGCATATCCATTGTCCAAAAGTAATTTTATTTTCACTCTTCCCTCTGAAACCAACTTGACTCTTCTCCAAAAACCAACATCAGAATGAGTCATTTGAAATTATTTTTAAGGTGGGTTTTTAAAGGCTGAGTTGCAAATATGGCCCCTGCGCTGTGACAACATGCCAGGAAACCCCTGGGAACTCTCCCAGAAAACTGAGGGAATGAATGCAAAACAGGCTGAGCTGTTCCGCTTCTCACCTCCCCCAGCATGGGCTTGAACATGTTGACAGCAGGGTGGTATGAAGATGGTTTTGTCCCCTACAAATCTTTTGGATAAACAAGATTTTGCTTTACATCAGAAATCTCTTTTTAACTTCAGTCAATATTTTCTTGGCTTTCTACTCTTGACAGTCATAAAACAGCTCTCTCTGGAATACACCATTCAAATTAATCAGCTGTCAGCTATTCTTTTAAAACTAATAATAGAAGGTCTGCATGAGCCTGTGAGAGACTGAAACACAGGAATGTGAGTTGTGCAGCTGCAAATGTTTCTATACTGCTATAGCTCAAATTGCTTTTTGCTCTCTAGCAAGAAGGCATGAAACAGCATTGTAGGGAACAGGTTCTGGACTGTCAAAGTTGCCCAACTGCATGCCCCATAAATGTGGTAAATCTTTAGTGACGCCTTTTAACTTTCAAGGAAGCTTTAAAGACAGGAGGTATGTTCTGGTCATAAACCAAAAGGCTCAGCTGGCCCAGGAGCACAGACAATTTGATGGCTTGTATCCTTTGGATGCCAGCTGCACAGGGGATGCCAGACTATGCTCTTGCCATTGGCAGAAGTTTTGACCTCCAATTCATCTTCTTGTCATCAAACTACAACAGGATGGGCAAAAAGGGCTCCAGGAAGAAGCACTGCCACTGAGAGGGTTGGGAAACAGGACTCCTTTGAACAGCCCCTTGACTACAGCAGTTTGGCTCCAAGTGGGCAGAGAAGATTAATGTTACATGAGGCTTGAATTCAGAATAAGAGTTGGCACTGGAGAAAAGCCAACTGTGCAACACTCCTGCAACTGCTTAGGGGACTCTGTTGTCACAAGAAACTGAAAAACAACTGGGAGGCTCTGTTCAAAAAAAGCATTCAGGTTTGCAAAGCCTGATGAAGGAACAAAAGCAGCACCTGCTTCTTCCAGGTCTGCCAAAAGCTAGTACCACCTGGGGACTTTGCTTCTACCAGCAGTGGGTCCATTTTCAGCCTGAAAAAATACTTTTAAAAGCCTCTCAGGCTTTTAAGAGAAAGAAGTCGTTTAAATCCCAGACCGGAAGCCTTAATTATAATGGATTTGTGTGAAAGTTGCCAGATCTTGCCCTGCTCTGTGATCAGGGTTGTGCCAAGAGTCTGCTTTGTGTCACACTAGCAACTGTGCTAAGTTCAGCAAAGTAACTGGGTCAAAGATGCACAGGCAGAAGAGAGATCACTGATTAGCACTAATGAGAGCCTGCACTGCAGAGCAGAATGACAGTGCCATCATGTCCAGGTTCTTGCTGTAATTAAAGGCAGCCATACCCCTATCCGTGCAGCAGTGTGAGCTGCACAGAACAGATCTTTTTGTGTGTTACATTTTACACCTTGCGAAGTCACTCATGACCAAAAAACAGAATATGAGAGGAAACAACTGGGAACTCATTGTTCATACTGCTGGAATTGAAATTAACTTATAGAAAATTAGGAAAGATTTGAGCATCACTGTGAGCAGGTCTACCAAACATGCAGCATTATTGTTTTCAATCAATTAATTCTACCTATAATGGGCATAAGGTTACAGATGAGAATACTGATCTCATGTTCAAGAATTCAATGGTACATCTGTCTACAACACCAGGTGCTCTGAAGATCAACCTTCAACAGAAACAGCAGAAACAAAGAAAACTACAGGGTTTTCCCAGTGTCTCACAGACTTTCCCTAAGACGAAAAATAGAAAGGACTTTGTAGTAATCTAGAAAAAGGAATAAGAGCAGAAACTAGTATTGAATTGTAAAGACAAAGTCAGTCCTAGGCTTCTAGATAGCCTCAGCTTATTTGCAAAACAGTGTATTTCTAATAATGACAAATACATGAGGGTAGCAGTTAACCTGGAATTGACCTCAATAGACAACACAAACATCTGCTGTAAGCCTATGGATAGAGGGCATACAAGGATTTACAGAAGGCAGGATCTATGCAAGATAAAATAAGCAATTAAAACACTTACCTCAGAATATAAAACTTACTCTGTAGACAGTCAAGAGCAGAGAAGAAAAAAAATTTCTACTGCATCCCTTCACTTTCCTTCTAATTACAGTGAGACAGAAGTCAATTAATCCCACCAAAGAACCTCACCAATGTCTCTGTAAAACTCAGAGCCATGGACTATCCACAGACAGAATATAGACATTCAGCCACTGGCAGAAACACAGTGGACACCTGGGACCAGTAAGGAGATTTATATCCAGACAACACAGAGCAACTGTCTTTGAAATACAGATATGAATGCACTTATAAAGTGAAAACTTCAGAAAGCTATAAATGCTGAGCTAAGGACCTGTCTAGAGGTGCTGCATTGAACACAAAGCTGTTACTCCTGCACAGATTCCTTCAAGGACTCCACCTGCCTTACCACCTGTACCAGCAACCTTCCTGAATTGCTCACTCTCTCAATAGATGAAAAAAACAATAGGTCAATCTTGTTACAATTGTAGTTACAAATATATTTTAATTTTTATTTCCGACTTGTAAGGTATGCATAGTATAATGTATTTCAAACTTCATTTGAAACCATTCAGAATGCTAGAACGTATGGAAATTATCTTAAAAGACCAAGAGAATGATGCTTGCAAATGCTACAGCACAGACCATTAAGGAAAATGCCACTCAGCCAGAAACTAAGAGACAATTCACCAGGCTTCCTGCTGCTACACACCAAAAACCCACTGTTGTTATTGGAAAACCCAGTTTGCAACAGCTTGCAGAGATCTCTCAAGGGTCTCAGGATGATCATCTATAAAATGTAAGCACTTAAAAGCAGCAGTTCTAACATTGAAAATTATTAGATTTGTCTGTCTTAGAAATTTCAGGGACTAATAGCATTTTTCCCTCAAATGAACCTTAAAACTGGGAAATAATCACAGTGTTCCTTCTTAAGGAGGGAGATGGTTCAAATTAGCACACCAGCTCCACAGATATTTAATTTCTAGTCAGAATTAGCACAAGGATTTCTTATTAAACCAGTCCCAACCATCAAAGAGATGAATTTTCTTTTTCCAAACCAGGCTCTCAATATTTGCTAACAGTAGCATTTATTTATGGAATTAAACTGGCAGGCAAAAGGTGGACACAAAGTGTTAGGCAGTGCTGATGAGCCATCAGTTTGCAGATGACAGCTGTCAGTTCTGCTGCAACACAGCATGCTCCTCCTGCATGAGTGCTCTGGGATAGGTCACAGCTACAATAGCATTTTTTCCCTAAAGTCTTCCTGGAACTCCCCTCTGAAGCACAGTCCTATAACTGAGGAACAATTTGCACACACACACACTTGTAAACAACAGCCATTTGTAGGGAGGGAGGTGAATTAGAAGGATCTGATTTCCCTTCTTTCCCCTCTAGGAAGGTTTGAGGAGAAAGTGGAGATCAGCATCACCATCATCTCCAGCATGTGTTATTAGCAGCCACACTGAAGCCAGTCAGCAGCGTCTGGCATTGTTTGGAGAAACACAAAAGACCTTCTGTTTGGAAAGTTCAAGAAAGAAAAGGCAGAGCCTGTGGCCTGGTCCTGCAGTCAAAAGACTGACACAGAGGCTGGGAAGTTCTCAGGCAGAGGCTGATCCCAAGCCCTTTGAAGTTGAGGGGAGGACTCCCATGGACTCCAGCAAGCTTTGGATCATGCCTGAAACACACTGACGGGAACAAAGTAGCATAAAAGTAGAAATGAGCATCTCCAAAGAGGAATTCAAACAGCACAATGGTGATCTAATATATTAACCACGGTTGCTGATAGAATGTGGTTTTGTGATGTTTTGCAAAGTAGGATTATATTAAGTTTTTAAATCTTTTAATTAGGATACAACAGTTGTACAACCATTAGGTATTTTTCTGCTTAAAATGCTATGCATGATGGCCTAGCATTGAGTGTTTAATACAGCATTTAGCAAAAGGAAAGCTGGGAAGAAAAGTCCCTTTCAAATTGCTGAAATTATGAATTTTCTGCTTTCTTTCCCCACTGTCTTCTCCCAAAAAGGCTGGTCTACAGCTCTTAAATACACAGTCTAGGACTGAAAATCTTATTAAGAATAATGCTGCCAGCATCATCTATTCATGAGCAGCCGCTTGAGAGAAGGCCCAACCCAGAAGAAACTCTATAGCAGCACATTCTCCAAACAATTACTAAAGGATCCCAAGTGCAGGGAGGCTCCAAACCCTCTGTTCAATTATGTTTTAATTAATTTTCTCATTAAAGATTAATATAGGAGCATTCAAGATGAAAGAAAAGTCCTCTGATTTCTGTAACATTTCCATAATAATTTTCATATTGGAGTAATCATGGTAGCGGGTTTAAGCTTTGGTGCTGTCTGGGTCCTAAATGGTATTTTCTGGGAATTAATTTGTTACAAACTTTTTAAAACACTTCTTGTAGCCTTTGCACAAGATTCAACAAAGAGCCAAAGTAACTCCCTTCCCCCCTCCCACCCCAAAAACAAAAAATGCAGGATGTTTCCTCTTTCCCTGGCTAATAGAATCCAACTGTTGCTGCATGACATCATTCCCCAGAGTTAGGGAATCCAAGCTCACTCCAGCACTCTCGGCTGGGAGTAAACACCACCACCAATGAAAAAAAATAATAATAATAATCAAACTTTACAATGGGAGGACATAACATTAAAAAGGCAATTTTTGTTACCTGAAATTTGGAGCATTTCCCTTTCCACTCCATTCTCAGATTTGTATTTCCCAGACAAAACTCTGTGTTATTATCTGAGGCAATCAGAAAACCAGTCGTTTAGTGTCTAATACCTGCTGTGCTTCCCATAACTCCTTCATATGACCTCTTGCAGCACTGATTCCAGCTAAAATGATTGCAGAGAACACAGACTGGCCAGGCCAGTTGTCATGGAGATCTCTCTCCCCCCTCTTTTCATAAGCGCGCGCGCACACACGCAGATTTAAACAATTCTGGGAGGCATCCACAAAACAGCATGCCTTTTCATCAGCTACGTTTTGAAACATTCTACCCCTCCTCCAGCCCCTCCCCAGAGTCAGCCCAGGAAGCTGAGATTTGGGCAGGAATTGATTGTGGAAATTAGAGATAGCGCCTTTTAAAAAAGAGAAAACAATCACAAAAGTTGTATATTTTTTTTTCCCCAGAAGGAAAAAAAAGAAATATTTATTCACCAAGGCTTTGAACTATAAGTAAATCTATCACATTCAGATCTGCAGGCTATTTGTCTTTGCCTGACTACTTATGAATTTGATATGTGAAAGCACTAAAGCTTTGCTGAAATACAATCATGCAGATTACAAGAAATTCTGCTGGCAAGGCCTGACTGCTTACCTTGCTGTTCTCCCAGTACCAAGCCAGTGACTTAATTAGCACAGGTATTCATAAGGTCATGCAGGACTTCCTGTATTCTTTCATGTTTCTGTAATTAAGAAGAAAATTGGGCAAGTCAGAAACATGCAGCTCAAACAAACAAACAGAAAAAAAATCCCCCAGCTAAACATGAACACAGAGATCCATCTGGAAGTTTTCTCACACTGACTATAAGTTTAATTGCTGCTTACCCAAAGCTTGCTATCTCCCAGTTAAGGAAGAAACCCATTTCACTGACATTTGCAAATACAAGAACTGATTAGTTTACCATATTCACTGGCACCATGGTTGCAAAACAAAACTTACACCAAACATAAATAAAGACATAGAACATTTTTTCCTTGACAAAAAGAATCCAAATTAATCCCCACCGACGTCATATATGAAAGTCTGGACTGATAAATCAAGAGAACAGAAAATACTTTATAAAAAAGAAAGAACACTTATTAAGAAAACTCACTTTTAAAATATTTTGACTCGGAATAATAGTACTGTGCCCAAAGTTTTTACACTTTTGAGAGATACCTTGGAGACTTACTCTTTAGAGGATTTAATCAGTCATTCAAAGTTTTGAAACTTCATAAAAGATACTGAAGGGATTTCATGAGTCTGTTCTGCAATGAGCAGCATAAGCAGCAGTCCCTCTAGTGGGCAGAAAATTGCAAAGCTGCCTATGCCAAGCTAGATAGGAAATCAATTTCTTCTGTAGCTATTAACCACTTCATTGTGCTGTTATGATGCTCCACCCCTGCATTTAAAACTCAGCACTGGCATATGAAATCCTTTATATTTTATTTTGGGAGTTGAACACAAGAAAATATACATCATATAATCAGCATAACTAAGTTTCTACATGAGGAGATTAAAGAGTTCCAATATATTACTCTTCTGGTTGTGTGAGATAGCCAAGACGTTTCACGGGAACAACTGTGTCTCCATATAGCCATTCTTACATATAAACTACACCAGAGCATATTATTGCCTGTACTTTGGAAAACTCTGAATTTTGTGAGTGACAGGGCTCCCAGCAGACTACACACTGAAACCATCTCTCTCTCTAACAAGAACATCACACAAAAGCATATACCTGAGGCATATTTTACACTGCTACCAAAAACTGCATGCAGACTACTCACAGGTAGATAAATACAACAAAACAGCTACTTAAGCTGTCAAGAGTCCAGAAGATGCTGAGATGACAGCACATCAAAGAGCTCCTAGATATGAAAGTACCATATGCTGTTGCAATTTCACACTAAGTTCTGCTAAGAATGCACCAGTAATGCCCAGCCAGAGACATGAGAGCCAAATATTAAGGAATCATAACTTGGTTGTGTCCTGAAAAGTTCCTTTGGTGTATGACTAAGGTAAATTAATCACATGCTGCAAATGGGCACAATTTCAGCAGTGTGACTGGGGAAAGAGGGAAACTGCTAACTCCTCACAGGAAAGTAACATTGTACGTTGCATCACTGCAGAGGGAGTGTTCAAAAACACAGAAGTAATAAAAAACCACTCTAGTAATGAACAAGTGAAATGGCTGATCATGCTCAGCTCTTCTATAGACCCCATTATGGGTAACATGGGAGTATGTACCAACCATCTGCATCACATCCCACTCCAGTGTTCATGGCAAGGCTCTGTGGCACTTCATTCTGTGACCACATCTGCATATATGGCAAGGATGTGGGGGAGCAGGCAAACTGGCATTCATAAATCACTAAAAATGCTCTGTGTATTACACACACACTCTGTTACAGTTTAAAATTCTAAGCAAGTGAAGCTGTTAAAATAGATCATGCATATGCAAATATGTAGGACTAAGGCACAGTAGTAAAACTATGACCCAAGCTTTGGCCTTGGGCAGGTGACTGCCACAGAAGCCCTCAGACAAGCCCAGTTCTATTCTAAACCCCATGAATACACCCTTACTCATTTCCTTGCCAAAAGGTGACATATGTACCTCGGACTGATCCCAGTTAAACAAGAGTCATTCCCACATCTTTTTTTTTTCCTCACTGAGCTTTCATTTGTGCACATCAATACCTCAGAACACAATTTAGGCTCTGAAATCATAAACAGAGGACATGATGAACAGCAGAGTTTGCATTAATTACAACATCACAGCTACCCTGCCATCAAAAGGCATCAGAGTGTGTGCCCTCACCTCCCTGCAGGAGACAGACAACCCATTACTCACATGCAGCTGATGTTTAGTTTCTTATTTCAGATACACTTCCCCTTTCTGGCTGGTTGAACGCACTCCTTCCTACACGCCTGGCCCTGGGATGGAGCAGCCACGTGAGGCACAGGAGCAGACATGCACTGAGCAGGGTGAGTGCACAGCAGGAGCCCTCACCAGGCACACCTGGACTCTCTGCCTGGAGACTGGCAAGGGAAACATGAGATTCCTGGTCCAAGATCCTTTACTGAATGCTTTCCAAGCAGCCATCAGCAGCAACAGGAGAGAAAACAAAAATCAGACTTGCTCCTCATGAAATTTTATCACTTTCAGTAGGTGAAAACACAACATCAGAGGTGAGCTCCAGATTAAGCCAGCCACAACAGAAGCACAGATCTCTGGTAGGCATAAATTCAAATTAATCACTGCTTCAATTTCAGTAACATTTTTCTTTGCATTTTTTTAGATAAAAACACTCCTGCAGAGTTACTTAAGATTTTTCTCCTCCTCACATAACTGTCTGCCCTTCACAAGGACCTTTGCCCCTTTCCCATTGAAGACGTCCATGTTATTGCTCTTCCTCATGTCATCTCCACACATTTACCAACCATCTTTCCAGTGACCTCAACAAATATGTATTTGTTTAAAATTCCATCATTTCAGACTCAACAGCAAAAGTGAAACTTAATTAGTCTGTCCCAGTATGTTTTTAACTGAATAGTTCTGAAAGTGCCTGCAGGTCCTGCTGACCTCACTGGGAGAGACAGGGAGCTTGGAAGCAGCACTTCCTCATCACCAGGCAGTGGCTTGCAGAGGAATGGAAATAAGGGGGAAAGCCAGATCTTAATGTAAAGCACACATGCACTACAAAAACTGTGCTCTCTTTTTATAGATACCCAGCACTCAGTACTTTTGCATAGGGAATTCTGTGGACTACCAGGTGGGGCAAAGTGATGACAGGCAGGGCAGCAGCCACCAAACACTCTGAAACAATCCCATAGCACCACTGAGTTCTTTAAATTAACAGTGCACAGCACTGGCCCTTACTGGTAACACTCCAACATGATGGTGTAAGAACATGGAACAACAACAAAGCAAGTGGCACAAGATAACACCTCTGACCACAAAAGTATCATTCTACCAAAGTCATTAAACATTCCACTGCCTTCAGTGGCATGTTAACTTCAATTTTGCCCCACTGCATGTTTTGCTAGGATTGTGGTAACCAAGTAGCACAAAAGTAGATTGTAGCCTTGTAGCAAAGGAGATGACTCAATATAGGAGCTCCCCAGCTGCAAGGGGACTGCGCAGGTAAAAGTCTCAGATCAGTCAGCCACAGATTTTTCTTCCCCCATTTCAGATCCTTTACTTATAATATATGCACAACTCTCTTCTAAGAGGAGAATTAATTTTCAATGACCCCCTCAATAATCTAGCAAGGATCAGGTTTGCAGCACAGTACTGGTTTCACTAATGCAGTGAAGAAAGAATTGTGTGTGTACATACCCAGTATTTATATAGTATGTATATAGGAAATGACTAATCATAGCTGTGCTCTCTGAGATACTGCCAGTCCCTTTATGGCTCTATATCCCATTTCAGTTTGATCTCATTCTGCAAGTGAGAGCCCGCCATACTTGGGTTTGATCCTGACACTGCAACTGTGTGCAAGACAGCAATTGGAAAACATTTCTAATTCACTGAACCTAAGGGGAGATCTGCACCTGGGGGTCCTGACAAGAAGCTGACATGCACTCAAGTTGCTATGCAAACACTCATTCAAAAATAAAGTGGCTTAACTTTGTGGCTATTATTATTTTAGGCCCTGATTCAGCAAAGCACTTAAACATTGACTTCAAAAGAACTTAAAAATACACTTAAATATATGTGCTACAATATTTTACCAAAGTGGCAGTTTAGTAATGTCATATATTTCAGAAAAGAGAGGTGGAAAGAGTTTTTATTTGGCAATTAAAGCTTTAAGACACTGGTCATACTGGGACACAACCTTCATTCTAAATCTACTAATGATGCTGAAAATTTGCTGAGCAATAAGCCGAATAATTCCTTAATAAAACAACTTTAAATGTGAACAGTGTGGAATTAACTCATGCAAATGCCTGGTTTGAGAATTATCCATACCTATGGTCTGATTCATGACAGGAGACACATATTACAGCTCACCCTGTTAGAAAAGCTGTGCAAAGCCAAACAAGCCATACAAACTGGCTCTGGGCCCAGGCAGCCAATTCAGCCAGCCCTCAACATCCCAGCACTGCAAACTCTGTCAGATGGCACCAGGCCAAGGCACAAGCCAAGCCAGAGGGATAACCAAAAGGTGGGGGGGATCTCATGTAAATAAGTCTTTCTGCTCCTTAAACTCTCCAGGGCCAGCCCTGTCTGCAACTCCTCTTCCTTCCAGTCAACACCCTTCCTTGCATGGCACTGCTGCATCCCAGGCATGCCCAAAAAGGAGAGACAGGTAGCTGTAGGTCCAAAACTGATGGAGGGGGAGAAGCCCCCGAGAAGAGGTTATTTGTGCTGTCTGTATATCCCCATCAAGGGTGGATTTATGCCCCAAGCAGAAGGGCAAATGAGACAAGCAGGCTTCCTCTGGGAACCAGCCATATCAGGAGAGATGTCAATGAGTTGCTTGAAACTCCACAGGATTTCTGATTTGACTCTACATGAATGCAAGATCTCCATTTGTCTCATTTCACTACTATTTCTTTCAAGTAGAAGTGAAAGGACAATTTCTGTTGCGCCTGTGCACAGCACACATCTTGTGACAAAAGATGCTACATGTGGGACTAGAAGACAATTCAAAAAACAGATCCCCTCACACCTGGAATTGCACTGAAGCAGAA